TCTATCAAAATTATTATTCCCGAATTATTTAAAAAAATACCCCCTCATGTCAAACTTCCAAAAAAGTTTAACATGTTAATTATAAAACATTAATTTAGACATTAAAAACAGTTTTCTGAAATAAAATATAAAATATAGATTATAAAAAAACAGTTTAATAAAAAAAAGTTTTTGTTAAACTGCTTAATAAAAAACGGGTTTTTATTAAAAAGTGTTTAATAAACTGTTTTTTATTAAAAAGAGTGTAATAAACAGTTTTTTATTAAACAGTTTAAAAAAGTGTTTATTAAAGACATTAAAAAACAGTTTTTAAAAAGTTTAAACTGTTTTTTTATTAGAAAGTGTTTAAACAGTTTTAAAAAAGTTTTAAAAATGTTTAAACTGTGTTTTATTAAAAACTGTTTTTATTAAACAGTTTTAAAAAAGTTTAAACAGTTTTAAAATAGTTTTTCTACGAACAGTTCAATTGAAATATTTTGAACAACAATTTTTTTTAAGAAAAATTAAAATAAGTTTTAATTTTGGTTTTTAAAAAATAGAATTTTTTTTAAAAAAACAAAACATTTAGTCACGGATCTGAGCCGTGACTAATTTTTTAGTCCGGAATTATTTGTTAAATTTAAAATTTATTTTTTTAAAAAAAAAATTTAGTCACGGATTCATGACCGTGACTAATATGAAATTTCAAAACACTGAAAAAAGGAAATGCGGGTTTTTGAAAATTTCAAAAATTTGAAAACTTAGTCACGGATATTTCCGTGACTAATATGACCGATTTTTTTTTAAAAAAAAATACTTAGTCACGGACGTGTCCGTGACTAATATAAAAAAAAATTTTAAAAATGTAGTCACGGATCTTAGCCGTGACTAAAGTGCCGGAGCAGCTATTCCGGTGACAGATTAGTCACGGATCTGGTCTGTGACTAATCCGTGACTACATTTAGTCACGGACAATTTGACGTGACTAAATTTAGTCACGCCCAAACAGTCACGGAATTAGTCACGGACAGAATCCGTGACTAAATGAGTTAGTCACGGATTTTTTACACTGTGGTCCGTGACTAAATCCGTGACTACAGCCGAATTTTTTTGTAGTGAATGAAGAATATATATAATTCATTAGTACAAAATATATAATTGTGATTTTACAAGAATTTTAAGAGCAACGCGGTTAAACATTTTAGTACGTTGAAAAGATTAAAATGATGAATAAAATATACTACAATATAAACATCTTAATCTCATGTATTATTTTCAGAGTAGAGTTATCTATAAATTCTGAGAATTCCACAGTTATCTGATCGTCACCCTTATTGATGTACTTAAATAAATATTTAACTGCACGTGTTTGATTGCATCACTCGACATTAATGTGAGCGGTATACTTCAGCAATAAGTCGCATTGTATGAGATTGTGGCTATGCTTAGTAGTATGCCTACTATTTTCTCGCCGTCTGTTAACCAGATAACCATGTTATGAATTGTAGTGCAACGGACAAATCTCTTCGGGAAGTGCTTTGTGATGCATTGTTCTTTGTCCACGGCACATATGCGGGCATTCATACGACCACATGGACCATGGATCATTAATGTTTGAACTCCATTGTAATAAATGGGGTCAGCATATTCATCCAGGATCTCTGCTAAAATAATTCTGTCGATTATCGATGGGTTTGCATTGCGCTCTCTCATCGAAAGCCACAATACAATGTTCACATGTGGTAATCCACATATCTGAAACTGCACGGCCGGATGTGTTTGAATCTATTTTTAATCAAGTGTGTGGAGAGGAATAAAATTAAAGAGGCTTAACGTAATAAATCTGATCTCCAACCTGATCAATAAATCCCAGAGTTAATTTTCCAAAAGTTGTTTATTAATTTAACTGAGAAACCGGTATATAGATATTAAGGGTTTGCAAAACCAAAAAGGAAAACTGAATTGCTATTCTAGTATAACTTTAATAAATGAAGACTATTTAAAGTATGACTAATTAATATTACGTATTAATAGTTTAATACTAATAGGATTTTTAACTTTTTGCTTGGTCCTTTTCCTTAGCAACTTTGATCAATAATTGCAATAGTTGCATTGCATTCGTTCCACACGGGCCTCTTCGTTTATACGTGTGACTGTAGAACTGGTTGGTAACATTATGTATTAAAAATAATATGGAAGTTAAAATTCAGTTAGTTTCTTCGTTTATTTTTACATGCAACATTAAACACAAGACTAAAAAATATTATACATTTAAGTTGCACTTTCAGTTCTTCAAATAGTACCCAAATTGAAATGTACTTAGTCTCCGTATTTTTGAGTTTGTAAATATCACTCCTCAAGTGTCCAGATTATTGTAAATGTGGTTCTCGCCGCTAAATCTCAACTAATACTATCAACTTTTTTATAACTTCAGAAACAGTAAAAGAAATTGTTTTAGAAATTATTTGCACAATAATTTGTCTCTAATGTGGTTCATCATTTCCTTACATTTAAATTATTCAATTATAGGTATTCGAGGGTGCTCTAGAATTTGCCTATTTTGGTTACACACTGATACGATTCTATTTATCTGTTTCGACTTGAAACTTGAAAGTATGTATTCGTTGGTCAGTGTACAACTGTACATCTCTAGCATTATAGATTTGGTTTTTGTGGTAACTAGATTCTCACCCGTGCGATGCACGGATGAATTTTAGCAAGAGATTATGTGTTATTATTACCTCACAATAAAAAAATGATAGTTTTGAAGCAAATGAAATGTTTAAATGCATTATAAAAGTGAAATAAATATTAAAAACTCATAAATTAAAAGAGTCAAATCATAATGTTGATAGTAAAAGGATGGTAACCAAATATGTGCATTATATAATTAATTTGGTCAGAAAGAAATTGTATTGCAGACCCACCAATAAAGATCCTGGGACTTCGATCTCCATAAGTTTGTGTGTGTTAGAATTCGGTTCAAAACTTCAAATGAGAAAATGATCTCAGAAAAGAAATCAGAATGAAACTGCACTCTTGGATCGTATTATATCAATTGAATGTGCACTACTTGAACTGAAATGTGTATTAGGTGAAACCAAAATGTGCAAAATAAAAGGTACGATGTGGTGACATTGTACCTTTTGTTCTTCAAGTTTAAATTTCACCCAATCGCATTTGAGATTTACCTTTTATTCCGCACATTCGAATTTCACATAATGCACATTTCAATTTCACTAAATGTACGATCCAATGGTCTAGATTCATTTTTATTTCTTTCTTTAGGGTCCTTTCTCATTGAACTGTGGAACCGCTCCCTATATGTATGTATTTGTATGTGTGTTTGTGTGTGTGTATGGGTGAGTACGTTAATAATACAAAGAGTCCCTTGAACAGTGGAAAGTAATATAAGTTCTTTATAATTTAAAATTGGATAAAATAGATCAAAAGTCGTGTGACAGAATTATAAACTTAAATGTGCAGTACTTAATAGTAAAAATACTTATGTGATATGTAAGGTTGCACACAAAGCTCGTTAAAAAATATACAAAATGATCTCTATAATTTTAATATTATTTCAAAAAGTGATTCACTTATGTGTTAGTCAAACACTCCATTTCTCAATAGCAATGTACATTTTTTGCTTTATTTTTCGAAAAAAGCTTCAAAGTAATATTTACACTTTTCCGAATATGATATGAATATGACATTTGTATTCTTTGAAAATGTCAAAATGTTCTCAAAAAAGTTCCATCAAAATGGCATTTCGTACACATGTTGGCATTGTTTTTCGGTGATCGGATCCGGTGGTGCTGGAGGTTGCTGAAGTTCCAGCATAGGCCTACATATGTTTTTTTAATATATTTTTCATTTTTTATTCATTTTATATTAATTTTTTTAGTTTCTTTTTTTATAATTTCTTTTTGAATTTTTTTTATTTTTATTCATTTTATTTAATATTATTTCATTTTTTTTACATTTTTATCATAAATAAAGTTATGTTATTAGTTTTATATTTTATTAATGAAATGTGAATTGTATAAAAACAAAGCAACGGTAAAATTGAAAAGCTAGTTCCATTTAGGAAATTTTTAACTTATAATCATATTTTGACAATTACTCGGTAAAATTTTATTTAATCCAATTTAGAGAATTTTTCCTACGTTTATTTACTCCGTATGAAACATCACAATATATGGAGTATGGATGTTTTCTTTTGGACTAAAATTTGTTAGACTGATCTGGTTTGGTCTGGTCTGGTATGATCTGGTATGGTACTGAAAAGAAAACATAAATCCTAATTTTCAATCTACCCGCATAAAGCCCATCCGCCGGTAACCTATAGGTAGCATTAGCCATCCGCCGCTCGAGGACTGGCGCCCTCTGTGCACAGGACCCACACGTCCAGTAACCATCATGTCAAATTCCCCAAGCATCCGTCGACGAAGTAAATGGCCGTCTTCTTTTAAGCCGTCGTATGCACCATGACCAGTTCAGTAGCTTTCGCCGTGGAAGACTATGTGCCGAGGTTGAAGTAGGCATATACTTGTGCTAGTGTCAGTAGCTTTCCTATTGTTCCCCCTCTTTCTGGAGCTCCATTGATGGCCAAGAGGCAAATCAGGCAATATGGCCGGCCATCGGAAAGCATGAAGGCGGATCAATTAAATTGACTGACAAATTTCACATCAACTTTTGTTTAATTGGTTTCTTTAAGATACAGTTTCCCAATTACCCAAAGAATATGTATGTATGCGACGGGATATGCTATTTATTACCCAGTTAGTTCAACGCCATTTCAACATAGAGTAGTAACCCGACCCAAAACAAATGACCCATATTTTGACCCATTTTTTTGGGCGGGAACACTGTACACTTTTCCTCTTGCTTTTGTATATAGTAAGATTTTAAGTTTAAATTTAGTGCTTCTATAGTTGTACACTTGTATTTTACATTTATAAAATTTGATTGGAGGAAAGATTTATGACAAAAATGGGTATATTAGAGGCCATTTTTTTTGTGAATGGGTGTTAATTAATAATATTCCACGAAAAAACTCAAAAAAATACATGTATTTTGTAGTGATATTAGAGTCTTAGTAGACGCTTATAAAAAACATCTCTGCAAAACATTATAACTACTCCCTCTTATCAATATCACCCTACTTGCCAAGCCACATTACAGGTTTTTTCATCTTCACCTTTATCTCTTTTGGAAATTAAGGAACTTGATTCCATAAGCAAACACAAAGCAAAAGAAAAGTGCCCAGCCAACATGAGCCGCAGCAACAGCTCCAAGGAAGTCATAATCATAGCCCAAGTTGTCTTTGAGATAATCATTGACGCTCATATCAACACTCCCGGGAATCTCCACCAACTCAGTTTTGTCTCCAACTTGAGACGTTACGAGGCCATATAACGTCCAGGCGACGGGGCAGCCCCAGTAGTACCACCTCCACCATATTGGGATTTGCTGTGTACACACACACATAAATATGTAATATGAGATCATGAATTCAAGAAACCCAGAACAAGAAATGGGTTTTATTAAAAAAGAATTTTACCGTTCTTGGAATGAGAAATCCTGAAAATAGATTCCAAATGTTGAGGAAGAATGACATGACAATGGCAGCAATTTGGTAGTTTGGAGTGAGTGCAATGAGCATCATCCCGTACATTGTGAAGTATAAGAAGCACATGAAGACGTAATAGTAAAACCAAAAGAAGCGGTGTGCTTCCCAAGGGAATCCAATCATCGAGTAGAGTATAAGGCTGTATATAAACGTTTGGATTGCAATGTAGATAGCCTCAATCGCCACCTGTATGTCAGAAGAACCAAGAGTTCACATGTATAAGGTCACTGGACACCTATGCTGACTACATCATATTCTGGGGAAATTAGACTTTGCACCCTACTATTTCATCCAGATTTGAGTTTCCACCCAATCTTTGACATCATTAATATTTGAGATAAATAATATAAATACCCCAAACTTTTAAGGGGTATGAGATAAATACCTCAAACTCGCATATGCAATATACATAGTACATACCCCGAACTAAGTTATTTTCGCACCATGACATTATGTTTTTTCTTTCTTAAATATAAAATTATTGTGATAAATACATAATTTAAAATACACCAAGCTTGTGTTAGGATGTAGTTAACATTCTAAAATTCCGTTTGTGAAATAAATAATACTACATCTGGTTCAATCTAATGTTAATTGCATCCTCATAAATGTTTTGGGTATTTTAAATTATATACTTAAGATCATAAATTTACATTTTTGAAAGAAAAACATAGTGGTATCTTTTTATATAAAGTTTGGGGTATATATATTACATGTGCAAGTTTCGGGTACTTACTTCACACCCTTTCAAAGTTTGAGAAATTTAAATTATTTTTCCTTCATACTTACACCCCAATGTTGGAAAAAACTTTGACAAACTTCATTTAGATGAAAGAATGGAGTGCAAATGCCAAATTTCCCCAAAAAACAATGGTGTTCTTATTTACTTACCTGAGCAAAGGCATAAGGCAGTGCAGAATACATCCCAGCTGCTTGTTCTCGATAGAAGACTGTCCTTTCTACTGATATGACAGACAACACAGCCGAAGTATTTGATGAACCAAGAAACATAACAACAGCATACATAGCTCCCACGAGGTTTGTAAGGTCTTGCTGTTTGGACCTGCTACATTTGTACGTCAAATCACAAATGGTAATCCATAAAGGGGGAGAAAGTTCTTATTCTCATTTCAGAACTATAAAACTTACAATTTACTCCCTTTTTTCCAGAAAATGACTCCAAATACAATTCCTGTTATTACAGCCATGAAAAAACGTATGGCATTGTACTGTGGATGTCTCCAGTATGACAAGTGCATTTTCCAAAAGCATGTATGGCACTGAGTAAAGAAGGGTTGGGCATATTTTGTGGGGAAGTGTAGGTCCTGGGAACCGGGCACAGGAGTGCTCAACTGTTCAATGAGTTCTTCATTCCTCCTATGAAAACACAAATCCATTGGCATTAGAGTAAAAGTGTAACAAGTTGAGACTGAAATCATTTATAACTCCCAACTACCGATAGAGATCAGAATCCGCATAAATGTTTGCAAAGTCCAAATCAAGTTGAGCCTCAACTGCAGGAGCACTGATCTCCAGCATCCAGGTAGCTGGATTATATCCCTCTTTTATCTTAGGAACCCCAAGTACAGCCTGGGAAATACAAATTATTGTTTTTCATAGTCAATCAAATTTTATTCCAGAATAATGTGATAAGTTTACTACCTTCGTCACCCAAACAAAAAAAAAACAATAGGACTGTAGGAGGGGGATGGGGAGTAGCTCACCTCAAAATATTGTATCAGCGAGCGAGAGTGATGACCTAGGGACCCGGCATAGATGACTTGCCCTCTCCTCTTCATCAGCAATAACTATAAAGTTCAAAGATGAGTGTTAGACACATAAGAACACTGGAATTAAAAGTACTGAAACATTGCAACAATCGACTACCTCATCAAATGCTTCAAAGATATCTATGCTGGGTTGGTGAATAGTACACACAACGGTCCGTCCCGTATCCACAGTGTTTCGCACGGTCCGCATTACAATGGCAGCAGCTCTAGCATCCAGACCTGATGTGGGTTCATCCATGAAGATGATGGATGGGTTAGCAACAAGTTCCACGGCTATTGTCAACCTTTTCCTCTGCTCTGTTGAGAGACCATCCACACCAGGGAGTCCAACTAGAGAATTAATCAAGGGGTTCAACTCAACCAGCTCTATCACTTCCTCAATGAACATCTAGATGGAAAAGAAAGATAATAAATCTTTACCCCATTTTGCTTTTTGTGAGAATTTATTTCAAATAAATACAAAACTGCGATAATCTCCAACGGGACTTACAACCAGCAACAACCAAACAAAATATGCTGATTCGATGATGGATAAATAATGTGCACCCCATCCCATATAAAGAGTCCTGTGGTTAATGGATGTATTCTTCTTTTTGATGACATACAATTGTTATAAGGTAACAATTAGACTTTTCTAATAGAGTCATGTGAGGCTTCTAATTTAGAAATTCCATTGATAGTTTAACAAAATTTAATGAACTAGATTTGTTTTTATTCTGTTTTTTCTGGTAAACTTGTTGACAAATTTTCTAAGAGTGATAAAAACTAATCTGTTTTCTATAATCTATACAGATAAATGTTTGAAATATAACTATTTTTATACGATGGAGTGCTAGTTATTCTTGTTTTCACCAGTTGTTAGTTCATATAGTGTACTATGGGTATGAATAATTCTTTTAAAATTATTTTGAAAAAATTCTTATGTTTGATCAGTATGGAAAATAATATCTCCCCCCACCCCCACCCCCACCCCATCCCCCGCAAAAGATAATTCCATATTCCTGGCTTCTTAAAAAATGAGGCTAATGGTGACTATCAATTTCAAACACCTGAGCTTTCATCACTTTAATTGCACAATGATGGAAAGAATGGAAATGTAATCAAAGAAACTGGGGACTAAATTGGGAAATCGTTATCATGGATTCTGGATCTAGGTTTGAGCATAATTTCAGGGATCTTCTTTACTCTTGATTCATATGTAGGTTATTACTTACCTTGTTGTTGTGTTTTAAGACTGTAAAGATTAACCCTCTTGAAAAAGGCAGGAGGAGTACTTTGATTTGGAATAGCATCGCTATTTGACAGACTAATATACAAACATGATGAGAGCAGAAAATAAAAATAAAAAATAAAAAAATCAACGGTTAGCAACCGTTGCTCAAGCTTAAAGCTAAAACTCCAATATTATTAATTGAAGATTCCAATAGCCCTCCTTAGGGGTTTAAATAACCCTCTAAGTCTTAATAAGAATAGGAATCCTAATTAAACCATACTAGGAAACTAAATAGAATAGGAAACCTCTAATTCTAATAAGAATAGAAGTCCTAACTAAACCATTCTAGGAATCTAAGTAGAAATAGGAAACCTCTAATTCTAATAAGAATAGAAGTCCTGATTAAAACATACTAAGACACATAATTAAAATAAGAAACATAATAAAAGGAAATCACTAAAGGAATTAATTAAAATAACTAAGCCAGCCCACAGAAGGTGGGCTCAAGCCCGTCCCCACCTACGGTAGATCAACAAGGGCCTGGGGCTTGGGTCTGAATCGGCCGCCCCTACCTGCTCTTCGGCCTCGCCTGTTTGCTCTCCGCCAACTTCATCCTCCTTTGAAAGAACCTTGTCCTCAAGGTTGAAATATGGAAACAGTCCCACGAAGCTTGTTCTATCCATCCAAGTAGCATCGTCACTAGGCAGCCCTGCCCACTTGATTAATAGCTCTTCCTCCTTAGCATTTTTCTTTCTGCTGGCTAGCACCTCTTCAGGCTCGAACACTGGACCCACAGGCAGTACTAAACTTTCCGGCAACTCACTCTATCGGATTATCTCCCACTACCTTTCGTAATTGAGATACATGAAAGACCGGATGGATACGGCTGGTAGATGATAACGTTAGGCGATAGGCTGTCGGAAGACAACTTATCGCATGCTTCAATGAAGAATGGCTTATAGAATTTAGCAGACAACTTATTGTAATGCTGGAGGAATAAAGTGGTTTGCTGATGAGGCCTGACCTTCAGAAACACCTTATCCCCAACCTGGAATTCCACATTGCGACGGTGTTTATTGGCTTGACTTATCATGCGCTGTTGTGCTTTCTGTAAACTCGCTTTTAGTCGAATCAGCATAATATCCCTGCTGCCCAGCTCTTCCGCCATGGCTGCCACCTTGCTTTCTCCTGGAAAATACCGCCGAATAGTAGGAGGTGGCCAGGCATACACCACCTCCAATGGTGAGATCCTTGCTGCAGTCTGGAACGTGGTATTATACCAATATTCAGCCCAAGACAGCAACCTTGTCCATTGTACTGGCTGCTCACAAGTAAAGCAACGCAAATATGTTTCTAAAACTCGATTCAACACCTCTGTTTGGCCATATTTCTCCGGGTGATACGCTGAGCTAAATTTTAACTGCGTTCCTGACAAGGAAAACAACTCCTTCCAAAATGCACTGATAAATAAGGAGTCCTGGTCACTAACAATTGAGCTTGGGATGTCGTGCAACCGAACTACTTCTCTGGAAAAAACATCAGCCACTGAACGAGCTGTGATCGGAGCTTTTAGGGCTATGAAATGCCCTAAGATAGATGTGTACCCCTTCGACTTGGGCAAGCAAGTGATGAAATCCATGGAAATATCTTCCCAAATCAAGCTGGAAATAGGTAAGGGCTGCAGCACTCCAGCCGGCGACATTGCCTTTTGACATACCAAACACTGTGCAATGTAGGCTTGCACTTGGCGGAACATCTCCTTCCAGAACACGTTCATTGCTAGCCTCATGTACTTCCGGTAGCGCCCGTGTGCCCTCCTGCAGGAATGTCATGCAATTCCTCCATCAGACGAGCAATCCATTTAGAATCAGCAGCCAGCACCAAACGGCATTTGAAAAACAGCCGTCTCCCAATCACTTCATAGCCCGGTACACTATCCGGGTCGGTCATCAGTGCCTGCATAATTCCCTGCAAAAATTTATCCCTCTATTGTTCCTCTTCAATGTCAGTCAGACCCATCCACTCTGGCATGCTAACCGCCGCTAGCTCCAACTCTTCTCTTCTTCGTGACAGGGCGTCTGCTGCTGCATTAGATATACATGTCTTGTATTCAATCTCAAAATCATACCCCAATAATTTTGCCACCCAAACCTACTGGGAGGGAGTCGTTATACCATGAGTGAGCAGATGCCTGAGGCTACGATGATCTGTGCGCACTACAAATTTACGCCTAATCAGATACGGCTGCCAACGCTAATCCCATCATCTCCCTCTTGTACGCTGATCTGGAAAGTGTTATGTTTGTTAATGATTTGCTAAAATAAGCAATAGGCCACCACTCTTGCATAAGTACCGCTCCAAATCCGATTCCCGATGCATCACATTCTACCACAAACTGGCGTTCAAACTGGGGCATGGCTAACACCAATGCTTCTGTTAACGCCCTCTTGAGACGTTGGAATGCTTCTTCGGCTTCTTGAGACTGGTGAAACTGAGCTAATGCTTCTTTCTTCAAAAGATTAGTGAGCGGATGTGCAATCTGCCCATATTCCCTCACATATCTCTTGTAATATCCTGTCAGTCCCAGAAATCCCCGAACCTCACGAACGGAACCTGGTTGTGGCCAATCCACCACTGTGCTAACTTTAGAAGGATCTGTGGCTACTCCGGCCTGAGAAATAATGTGCCCCAAATACTCGACATGCGGTCGCCCGAATGCACATTTCTTCATATTAGCTTTGAACGGATTCTTCCCTAGGAGGCTTAAGACTAAGTCCAGTGGTTCTCAATGTTCAGCCCATGATCGGCTGTATTCTAAGATATCATCAAAAAATACCCGCACAAATTTCCGCAAGTAAGGTCAAAACAAATTATTCATAGCTGCTTGGAAAGTGGCTGGGGCTTTTGTCAGTCTGAATGGCATAACTAAAAATTCATAATGCTCGTTATGAGTACCAAGAAAGCAGTCTTATGGACGTCAGGACCGGCAACCTTGATCTGATGGTACCCGGAGTGCAAGTCTATTTTGGAGAAGACCATGGCTCCAGCCAACTCATCTAGCATCTCTTGTATCACCGGAATCAGATATTTATCTGGCACTGTAGATTTGTTAAGGTCCCTGTAATCCACACAAATTTGCCAGTTGCCATCTTTCCTTTTGAGCAACAAAACTACAGTGCCGAATACCAGTCTCTCGATCTTGTCCTTCGTTCCGTGAACTAGCTCGAGGCAGAGGTCCGTCGCGCGGCGAGGTTGAAGCCCTTGCAGCTCCTCGACGACCTCGGTATGCTGCCCAAGGATGTCTTCTACTGTTCCCGAGGCTGTCCCAGAAAGTTTAGCGGGTTCACTGACTAGGACCACGTCACACAACTCTATATATGTGGTTTTTAGTAGCGTGGGCAGACTGACCGCGTTTCTACACATTGTTGGATCGCCTCTCAGTTCTATCTGCCTACCATCAAGCTTGAACCGCATGGTTAAGTTCTTCCAGTTGGTTCGCACTTCTCCCAATGTGGCCAGCCATGCCACTCCCAGTATAATGTCAACCCCGGCCAATGGGAACACATAGCAGTCTGTTTTAACAGCACATCTTGGTAAGGTCACATGAAGCTGCCGACACACCTCTTCTGACTCTTGTCTGTGTCCATCTCCCAACTGGACCCTGAATCTTCCCGTTTTATCCGGGTTTAGGCGTAGCAATGATACTAATGACGAGGACACAAAATTGTGGCTGGCGCCATTATCTATCAATATCGTCACCGTGTACCCTTCAATTACTCCTCGAAGCCTCATTATTTGAGGGCTGAAAATTCCAGCCATAGCATAGACTGGAAAATCACCGTCATCGCCTTCGGGTCTGTCGTTGTCCTCCAGAAACTCCTGCCCTGTTATTTCGCAATAGTCATGTTGTTGCGGGTCAAATTCTTCATCCTCTTCAGCTAGCATCCACTTCAATTGTTTAAAAGGGCATCATGCCCTCGTGTGAAAGGTTTCCGGCACTTGAAGCATAACCCCTTGGCCCGCAGCTCTTCTAACACCTTTGGAGGAAGCCTGGTGAACCTGGAACGTGCGGTGGACTCTCCGGACAGCCCAGAAGTGGACCCCGCAACCTGCCCGGTGACCCTCATGAGGCTGCCACTTCAATTGCACGAGCTGCCGCCACTTGCAGTCAACGGAGGACCTATGCTTGGCCGTGAAAAGCTGCTGGAACGTGTCCATGTAGAATTATAGTTTGGAACGCCTCTTCTTCCACTCTGAACTGACATATTGTGCTCCACATCTCGAGCTAATTCCATGGCCTCTTCCATGTTATCAGGACGAAATAAGCGCAGTGAGCTTCAGATTGATTCTTTTAGTCCATTCATGTAGTATCCCATTTAATGATCATCTGACAATCCCGGAACTTGGCTGGCCAATTGAACAAACAGGGTATTGTAGTCTTCCACCGATCCAATCTGTTTGGCGCTAGACAGCCGTTCAAACTTGTTCCCCTTAAATCGGGAGTCGAATCTGGCCACCAAAGCTTGCCCAAATTCCTCTCAAGTCATTCCGGGTTTGCGTGCTCTTAGCCAGGTTACCCAATAGAGGGCAGCCCCTTCCATGGAAACCACAGCCGCTACCAATTTTCTGTCCGGTAGGGTTCCGTTGAGTTCAAACCGTTGCTCAACCCTAGCCAACAACCCAATCGGGTCTTCACTGTCGAACGAGGGAAGCAGGGTAGTTGTCGTGTTGAGCAATCCTCCGTCGATTGAGTGTGCAGATACGGCGTGCGCGGAAGAGACGTTGTCACTGGCTGATGTTGGCATCTTCTCCGGCGTTACCATGGCCTTCGCGATCTCAGCAAGAGAGGCTGCGGTCTCTGCGAGCTAGGCGCCAAGCTCTTCCAACTTCTGTCTTTGCGCATCGGGTATCTGATTGATTAAGGTTTGCTCGCGCCCCATCCGGGCTTGCTCGGCCTCCATCTCTGTCAAGCGATCGTTCTGAGATCTCTTCATTCCGGCGGGACGGGATCCGGCAGATCGGACCAATTGATGAGAGCAGAAAATAAAATAATCAACGGTTAGCAACCGTTGCCCAAGCTTAAAGCTAAAACTCCAATATTATTAATTGATGATTACAATAGCCATCCTTACGGATTTAAATAACCCTCTAAGTCTTAATAAGAATAGGAATCCTAATCAAACCATACTAGGAAATTAAATAGAATAGGAAACCTCTAATTCTAATAAGAATAGAAGTCCTAATTAAACCATTCTAGGAAACTAAGTAGAAATAGGAAACCTCTAATTCTAATAAGAATAGAAGTCCTAATTAAAACATACTAGGACGCATAATTAAAATGAGAAACATAATAAAAGGAAATAACTCATCATCATTTTCATTTACCCCAGTGCCGCAAAGGCTCCCACGGTCCCACCTACGGTGGGGCAAGGTTCGAAATTGCGAATTGCGTAGTCATGGCGTTTTTTTAATATTGCATATATTGCGTAAGCCTCATTGCGCAATGAGGCGTATAGCTGAGGCGTAATATATATATATATATATATATATATATAAACATAATAAAAAATAAACATATTCATCAAAAGTCATCAAATGTTATATTAAAACAAACCATAAGAGACCAAGCAAAGTAACATGTTCAAACTTCAAAGTACCATAGAATACCAAAACATTCTGAATCATTTATCAAAACAAAAATCTAAGATATGAAAATTTAAATTAATTAGATTGATTGACTGAAAAATTCAATCAATAACTACTGGTTTGAAATAGGGATCATAAGATCAATTATAAAAATTTAAAAGTGGGCCGAGTGGGCCCAAATAATACCCTTACACCCTGACCTCCTATTGCGTACGCCTCAGAGCGCCTTATTGCGTATCTAATATTGTGTACGCCTCAGTGCAATATTGCGTACATCACACTCTCAGCGCCATATGCAATGCCTTTTACGCCATAGTCCAGGAATTAGCTGAGGCGCGCCATGAGGCGCAATTGCATTGCGCAATTACAAACAATGCGGTGGGGTAAGGGGGGTCGGATGTACGCAGTCTTACCCCGTACTAAAGCACAGAGAGACTGTTTCCGGATGACCCATAGTGAAAATCGCGTCCAAAATTGCATGGACTAACTGCTGCTTCATAACAAAGAAGCGCAGACAGTTTAGTGAGCCATTTTGCTTTATTCCATCATATTCTCAAGCCAAAAAATAATGCATCTTTGGCTCCGTTGTAAATGATGGAAAAGGAAATAACTAAAGGAATTAATGAAAATAACTAAGCCAGCCCATGGACGGTGGGCTCAAGCCCATCCCCGCCTACGGTAGATCAACAAGGGCCTGGGACTTGGGTCTGCCTCGGCTTCCCCTGCCTGCACTTCGGCCGCCCCTGTTTCTCTCTATCAAAACAACAGGTTCATATAAGAAAAATACAGCAGCTTGCGAATTGGAATAGCATTAGATCGTCCGTCAATGGGAAAACCTCAGAATGACTTAGATATTTACAATTTGGCGAAGAATGTTCTGTGTACTATCTCAGCATAACTCCCCAACGGCATTGGTAGTTGCTCACCATTGAGCTGAGCTGGCACCCCAAGCGCAAATATGCAGACAGGGTTACTTTAAACTAGCACGAAATCCAAGAGAGAAAAACTAGTCTTTTGTGCGAAAACATGAAGATCATTACTTCAGGGGTGTCTAAATGGTAAACTACAAGCACAGTTGCATTGAGACATTGACAACTTGGGCAGTACCTTTCTTTTTTGCTTATTCACATCTGGAGAAAGACGCAACCAGGAAGAATATATAAGAGATTCATATACGGTAACATGTGGAGAATGGATATCATTCTGTTCACAATAACCGCTTATTCGAGCAAAAGTTGATTGATTCTTGGGGAAACCAGAAATGCTGATGTATCCCTCGATATATCCACCTGTTTTTCTTCCTGCTAAGACATCCATCAAAGTAGTCTTCCCAGCTCCACTCACACCAACCAATGCTGTTAGAACTCCTGGCCTGAAAGATCCACTAACATCTCTCAACAATTGGAGTCGTCTCTCTTGGATTCCTTGTTTTTGCATTTCCTGATGAATATACCATAAGTTTAAATTCAAAAGTCAAGCCAATGTTGAATATATAGTGGCAAAAATCTGAAATTGCATTCTGAGAACTATACTTACAGCTGGCATATCAACATAGTAATTGATATGGTTGAATGCAAGAGACAGCGGTTGGAAAGGAAGCACCATCCCCTTCATCTTCACTGCATTTTGTTCCACGCTAGAGCTTTGTTCAGAATGCCTTACTGCAATCATTAAAAATAGGACATTGAAGAGATGATTATGCACTAATAGTTAAGGCAACAATTCTAAAACTTTAGCATGTATCTCTCTAGAATACCAAAGGATCTTTGACCATTGAAAAATGGTATAACACTTATAGGACTTGATGTCCCCCACCTTCAGAGGTTGGAGGTGTAGATGCTGAAGCCTGGTATGCTGCTGCTTCACCAAAGGGGTTTGATTGGCCTTTCGTCTTAATATTATTGTCTTCCTCATCCAAAATAATAGATTTGGAGCCTCGAATAGCTGTGTTTGAGAAGAAAACATCTAAATCAGTTTGTTTACTCCTATTCCAAAAAGGGTAATTTTAGTTATTCCTCCATATTTTATAAAAAAAATGATTATTATAAATCTTGTTAAACCAACAAATAAATTTAAAAATATAAGTCTAATCACTTTTAAGCGTTACAACTTCCTAAAAAAATGTATCTTGGTGAAACATTACTCATTTTTAGAATGGTGGTACTGCCAAATAAGAAAAAGATATAGTATCATACGGTTTAAGTATGTTAGTGCAATGACAAAGCAAACATTGAAGAGAACTGAGAAGCCTAAGAGGGCGATGATGCATATCCAATACATGTAGTCATCTACATACATTCCCCTTGACTTAAGAAGCAGCTTGCCTACCGTATGCTCACGGAACCTTGAATCGTTAATGGGCTGAAAAAAACCACAAGAATAGTGCATGTTAAAGTGATAAATGATGGAAAAATCGGTTCTGAAGTGAGAAGAATAACTAATTTTCACAAACTACTATAAAACCTTACAGAGCTCCATCTTTTATCAAGAAATTCATTGATAGCTATCGCGTTCTGGCCATAAGACATAGGAGACATGTAATATCCCCACTTCATCCATGGTTCCAGGTCATCTACATCCAGGGTAGAGATGCTTATTATTTTGGAAAAAGAAATCTTGTAATTGAGATATTATCTAAAACAAGAGCTGAGAGAATATGCACTCAAACATGAAAATAATGTATGAGGGCAAAATGTTACCTTTAGCAACAATGAAACCACCAAGCACAAATACTACCAGCAAAGTGAAAGTAACCAAAGTGGTTGCTACCACTTCTATTCTTCCAAGTGCCACCATAAGACGGAAAAGGGACAAAGCCATCTGATGTAAGGAGAAGAAGGCCAGGAATTGGCGAAATACCCTGAATAAATGCAAAGTGCACCAGTATAATACTCCCTCCATCCAATAAAACTTGGCCAAAGTTGACTTGCACGTAGCATGATAAAATCAAAATTGTATGCTTGAGATTTGTGCAGAGGAGAGAGAAACTTTAGCCTTATATTTAATACTTCAAATGGAAATGACAATTTTTTGGGATGGCCAAAAAAGAAATTTGATAAAGTTTTATGGGACAGACAGACTATGTTTGGATGTCTCTATACAGTCATTAGCTAATTGAGATATTTTACTTTGGTCTATAGTTTATCAGATCATGATGATTTTAACAGTGTGGTGGAGACCTAGCCCACAGTGTTGGACAAGAGAAGGTAAGCAGGGTTGAGCACAAGAAATAAGTTATTCTAATTAATTAATTAGTTAATATTATATGTGCCTCGATCAGATGAATATATGGAGAACTACCAAATAAGCCCTCGAACTTACAAAAAAAATGCAAATCACCCCTTATATAGGAGTCTCTGTCCGGCCGTCGCCATTTGGGGCAGTTCCCGGTGGAATTTTTTGATGAAATGTTTTGAACATCTTATTCATTAAGTCTAGTTTACTCATACCAGATTTCAGCTAAAAATTCAACCGGGAAGGCAGTCAAATGATTTTCTGAAATATACTGCGCAGTTATCTTCAAAAATTCATTTGACTGCCTTCCCGATTGAATGTTTAGCTGAGATTTGGTATGAGTAAACTATACTTAATGAATAAGATGCTCAAAAAAATTCATCAAAAAATTCCACCGGGAACCGCCCCAAATGGCGACGGCCGGACAAAGCCTCTTATATAAGGGGTGATTTGCACTTTGTTTGTAAGTTCGAGGGCTTATTTGGTAGTTCTCCCGATGAATATACTGAAGTTTTAAAAGGAAATGAAACTGTCTGAGCATGAAAGCGTTTGGTTTATCTTTAGTATTAAATGCATACCTACTAGCAGCAGGAGCAAAGCCAATGGTGTAGTAAGTAAGAATAACCCATATGAATGATTCCATAAATGAGAGGGGCATTCTCATTAGCCAAATTGGGAGTGCAAAAGCCCAAGCAGGGAAAAATAAAGAATCCCTCTGTTTGAAGAAAACAGGAAGCCTGAACATGGTCAGTGCAAGCTCTGCTGTACCATTAAACATCACGTTGAGGAGACTAAAAAACAGAGCTCCATAAAACTTTCCTCCATTTCCAACCGTCCCAGATTTCATCTTGCTCCTAAAGAACACTGTAAAAGCAATTATTGACATTATAGTAATCTGGAATGTCTTGAATATGTACAGGAGAGAGTTGCGTTTCATCAGCAGCCATTCCCTAGATAAGCATGCCTTGAAGAGTTCCATATTGGAAATACCATAATTCTTAGTTTCTAGTGCTGCAGGATGGGTTCTACTCTTGTCATAAGGAACTGAGAGCTCATCATATAGTTTGTGCCCAACATGAAAGTTTCTAAATAGGTCTGCAAATTCAGTGACTGAAATATATTGATAAGGTTCATTTTTTCTAAACCAATACTGTTCTTGGTCCTTGAGAGATGTTACTTCTTGTAGAAAGTCAGCAACTCCTTTCCTTTCTGGACATTTAAATCCCACACACTCAAAAAAGTCTATAACATTATCTCGTGGACCATGGTAGACTATTTGTCCCTCTGAAAGCAAAATGATGTCATCAAAAAGCTCAAATGTTTCTGGTGCGGGTTGAAGAAGCGATATTATCATCGTCACATCCATTATATGGACCATTTGCCTCATGTATTTCACAATTTGGAATGTGGTGGAGCTGTCAAGACCTGTAGATATTTCATCCATGAAAAAAACTTTTGCAGGACCAACCAGCATTTCTCCTGTGCATTGACATGATAAAAAGATCAACACATCAATCTACTGGCAGTTAAATGGGAATAGTGTAGACTAGTCAAAAGGTTAGGAAGCTGTGAAGTAAAGAAAGCTTGAATGCTAATCCAGTAACCTAAATTTACACATGCAACACACCTGTGGTAACACGTTTCTTCTGTCCCCCTGATATGCCCCTCATCATCTCATTACCCACCACTATATCAGCACATAACTCCAAACCAAGTATCTATAAATAACTTCAACAGTTTAACAAAAATTCTTCATTTTCTAATCATAGAGTATTAGTGTGTAACTGGAAATATACCTTGAGCACGTAGTCTGTGACCAAACTGGATCCTTGGCCTGCTATAGCAGTGGCTTTCATAAATGCATCTATCTCGGGATCAGGCTTAATTCCCGCATCAGTTTCTCGTCTGGACAATTCTGTGAGAAGTTTGTATCTAGTTCCAACACCTAAAGCACGTACGGCAAAGTCGAATGTCTCTCTCACTGTCATCTCTCCATGGTGGAGGTCGTGCTGGCTGATATAAGCACAGGTACGTTGAGGAATTATTTCTGACATCTCATGACCGCAATAAGTGATCTTACCCTCAACCTTAGAAAAATTAAAAATCAAGAACTAGTGCCTTAAAAACATGAGAGTAGTATTTCATGCCAAAATTCATAAAGATGGTTGGTACCCTGAGATCCTTGTCCAATGCTCCAGCTAGTGCTTTCAAGAATGTTGTTCTTCCAGATCCGGGAGGCCCAAGAAGTAGTGTCATCCTGTAGAGTGAAAAGGAGATATGTTTACCATATGGACCACATAGAGAGTTATCCACATGAGTAGAAACATATGCATAAAAGTAACGCACATTAGCCAAATGCTTTCTATGAACATACCTTGAAGGTTTTATAATTCCATTCACATCGTAGAGTATCTTGATTACTCTTTTCTTGGATGGAAAAACTCTTATCTTTTGTAGAAAACTCTGAAAATAATGAGAATAGGTTCTTATACCATTTAGAAAAATTAGAAGCTCCACCAATATATAATAATTAGAAAAAGTAAATCCAGCATAACAGGATTTACATTGAAATAAATGGAGAACCTCTATCACATTTATGGTGGCATTAAACAAAGTAGGCAATGCCCGAGATCCAGCATATGCATCTCCTTCAATGGATAGATCCTGATATCGCACTTCGATTTTCGGAATATCAATTCCTACCCTATTCATGAAAAAACAATTATTATCATGATTTAAGCCAATTATTAGATAGTGAAGTGTATACAGGGAAAGAATGGAATATTGATTTTTTTTGCCTCACCTATCAATCCTATCTCTGAGTCTTCGAAGGAACCTCTCGTTGTCCTCTTCCACAACTTTCAAAATACGTTCCAAGAGTAGCTTCTTGTCATGCATCCCAAGATTTTGAACATCAACTTCTTGATGCACAACTCTTCCATCATCCAGGGTTCGCTTCAGGATCCCTTTCCTCAATCGATCATATGTAGGAAGTCTCTCAATAGCAGCCAACCTCAAGTCTTCCTCACTATCATTCTCCTCATCAATTCTCTGGAATACATCTCTTCCTGATGCAGCAAACATCTCCATAAGACTTACAGAAGTCGAGTTCCTTCTACTGCGGTTCCTCATTGCCATATCATCCATAGCCAGAGCTGCATCCATCTTCACTCCCTTGTAGCAGGTAGAAAATAATTACCCTTTGATTGTTTATTCTTATGTTCTACGCCTTCTATCCCAGAAAAGGATGTTAAAGTTCAGTGAATCATATTCTCAAACACTATCCAAGCAATCCTCTGAGTTCCGAAAGAGCATCTTAAGTGCCGGTATAAGCTAAATATTGTAAGTCAGTGATCCGAATGATTTTACAATGACAAGAGATTGTTGGACTTGGTGGTTTTCAGCTTTCCACCTATTGGTTGATAAAAAGGGAAGAGACCCAAGAGGGCATTGCAAGCAAATTGCTTCAATGCCGTGCAGCTCCATTCTGGTAAGAGGGACGGTCAAAAGGCAGGTTACTGAATGCATGATCTGCGGGTGGACTTTGAACAGATGAAAAAGCATTTGGAAAGGCAAATAGGGCGCCGACAAATGAAGGATCCTTGTCTTTAGCAGCCGCAGAGGAAATTGGAGTGGCGTGTTTTTGCCGCCGTTCAGTTCTTTTTGTCGGACTCTTGCCAAGAATCAAATTCGGGATTCGAATGGGACTATTAGAATTGGAAAAATTCAAATACATATACAATTAAAAAAAATTGAAAATAATAATCCAATTATTGTCGGTGGGCTAACAATAATTTCAACTATTTATTATTTTTGTATAATCACAACTATATGAACCATCCGCCAATAATGATCCATGACCAGATATTACCTTCTAAAACAAGTGAATTTTAAATAGCAATTAAGCATAAAAATTAAAAGTTGAGATTATTTATAGGCATTACTTACTCTATCTTTTCTCATCCACTTTAGAAACTACATGAATTTATTTATAGGGACTATTATTGGCGGAAGGTCTCTAAAGTTGGGATTATTCTGAAATAATTGATAGTTGGGATTATTATGTTGTACAAATAATTGATAGTTGGGATAATTGTTAAACAAATACAAATACAAATCGAAATTAATATTTATTTCATATTTGAATTCGAATTTGTATTTGGAAAAATTAAACAAATACAAATACAAAATCTCATTATTTGACTCGATTCGATTCGTTTACAACCCTAATACTGAATACCAACTGTTGAGCGGACCGCCAATAGTTGGGATTATTACTATCAATTTTGCCATAAGAATATTAATTTTGATTCGAGTTGTTATAAAATACAAATAAGAATATCAGTGTATTCGATTCGAATATTAATCAAATATATTCGATTAATATCAATATTATTAATAATAGTAATAACACCACAAAAACTTTTAAAAGAGAGCAATACCCTCAAAGTGTAGCTCATATATACATATTTGCATATAGATTCCAAGCTCATTTGTAATAAAACAGAATATAAATACGAATACGAATCAATTTTTTTGTTCAAATGTCTTTCAAATACAATACAAATAATTATGTATTCGATTTGAAGAATAATATTAGAGTTGTTTGACTTTGATATATATAATTATCAACTTATTTCACACATTATAAGTATAATTTCTAATATGTGTGTGTTATTGTTTATTTCAAAAAGTTTGAAATAGATTTATATTTATTAATCATAAATCAATTCACTTTAGTATGCATTTACAACATAAAAAAGTATGGAGTATAACTGTATAAGAAAAGTTATTTTAAAGTGACATTTGACTAATATTCAACCTATGCTCAAATCGATTCGATATTCGTATATGATTCGTTAGTATTCGTATTGTTAAACAAATACAAATACAAATCGAAATTAATATTTATTTCATATTTGAATTCGAATTTGTATTTGGAAAAATTAAACAAATACAAATACAAAATCTCATTATTTGACTCGATTCGATTCGTTTACAACCCTAATACTGAATACCAAAGTTGTTGAAAGGGTGAGGAAGACCATATTCAAATGAATCGTTCTTGACAAAAGTTTGGTACACATTCATTTAGTCATTTCCAGATCAAATCAGATTTAAACAGATCAAACCAGATCAAACCAAACCAAATCAGATTAGACTCTCGTAATTATAAAATACACATAGACCAGACATTTAGCTGACCGCACCATACCAGTTCACACCAAACCAGACCAAACCAGACTTTCGTAGTTATAAAATACACATAGATCAAACATTTACCAGACCACACCAGACCAGTTCAGTACACACCAGACCAGACCAGACCAGACCAAACCATACCAGCAAATTTCAGTCCAGGTAAAAACATCCTAGGTACACATTCAATTTACACTTATACCAATTGGTTGTGCACATACACAAAATAGTGTGCAAAAAATAGGTCTAAATACGATTTTAGCCTCTACAAATATAACATTTAGTTTTAGATTTCTACAAAATATTTGCTTTATTTTTCATCCTTGTATTATGCGTTATTTTGATTTTAGTCTATCTCTAACTCCTAAACAACTCTTCTTAGATTTTTTTAATTGATGTTGGTTGCATAAATCTACTGGAAATAATTAAACTTATCATTTTATATATTTTTTAGGCTAATATGAGAGTTTAAATAATATAAACTACGTATTCGCATTTTAAAAAATATGTATTAAAATCCTTTTAAAATGAAATTAGATTTATTTTTTAACAACATGACAAACAATTAGAGGAAACCTATTAGTCAGTGTTGTTTCGTTGTCAAACGGAGGTTGTTATCAATATTCATAAACTAAAAAGAAAATCAAACATAAATTTCAGGAATAAAAAACAAAGAAAACATTTTGTAGGGGTCTGATCGAAAAATCAAACAAGCATGGTTGTCATGGTGGCTTCTATAGATGCAGCCGATCCCTACCAGGTATGACCTTTACACGGTCGGGTATGAGTTGAAAAATGAAGCTGCTAGGAAATTGGACTAATACCCGGACGGGTACGGCCTTATACCTGGTCCGGTATGATTTCACCCGGACAAACAGACGTGCTGAAAACACAACATCGTGGAAGATTGATCCGATTTTGACCGATACCTGGTCGAGTATATATCTATACTCGGTCGGGTATGCGACCCAAACTGTTGAAAACACCTATAAATAGCACAATTTTTCATCACAATAATATTCATTCCTTCTTCCATATACTTATAATTAAGTTTTACTTAAGATAGTAATTTTTTAATTATGTTTTTCTAGCATTGTTTAGTCTCCATCTGAGGAGCTAAACACTGATTTCTTGGTTTTTCTCAAGCTTGTTGAATGTTTAAGTTATGAGTTATTTTCATAACTTCTTCTCTTGAATATTAATTATTCCATTAATCTTATTTCTATAATAATGTTGGGGTGTTGCTAAGTTATGATTAGTTAACGCTTCGACATTAATTATTACTAGAAATGATCAATGAACATCAATGGTTTCACAAGTAAGTAACTTCGGGTTATTAATGCATGGTCGTGGTTAATAAGCTTAAGAGGGATTAATTGTGTTTGTTAAACCGAGACCGCGTTGTGTTGAGGTTATCAATCTCAATTGATTTCATCAAGGTGTTGAAAAGATTAAATGTTACTATTAAGTCGGTATATGATGGTGTTCTATATTTGACTAATAGTAATGAGGGGTGTTAATAATGAACGGTCTCGTTGTTAATAACTACACTCGATGAATTGGATATACTCCTCGATTGAATATTCGAGAGGAAGATAGTTAAAGATATAACCGGGATCGACTGACATCTGAACGTCCTTGTTTTACTATAAAAAAATCAGACACGTATGCGCCAATGAAAATGTTTGATGCAAATGAAGTTATATTTAGTGAAAATAAGGTTATTATGTTAGTTAATATAATTCTTTTGGACAACATTTATGATTTTTTGTAGTATTTTTTTCAATGATAATGTCAACCTCCTTAATTGTAATGAAATGAAATTCAAACTTAAGTCTTCACCTTGGGAACATAATGTATATAATGCATGTGTCATGTTTGATAATGACATAATGTAAGTAATCTATGTTTTCTATAAAAAGTGACATATTGCACTATATATGATTTTATTAGCTTAAACAGATGGAGCTAATGTGTAAATCTAACATGGTAATAATATAAATATCGTCTATATTTTAAAGAATGCTACACTAAGCTTTGACATACTAGTATTACTTAATGAGGAAAGTAGAGTAACGAATAGTGCAGAAAAAGTAGAAGGACATATGTACAAGTATGAAAAAGAGACAAAAAAATAGAAAAATTAAGGGTAATCGAGTATTTTTAAAGGGAAAATTTACCAAAAAGAAAAGTATACTAAACTTTTAAATACATCTCAAAAAGAAAAGTCTAGCAAACTTTAAAATATGGAGGGATTATAATTTTACCATACATTATGACAATACGAATGCTACATGTTTGGTGCAAATAGGGGTGTAAACGAGCCGAACCGAGCTCGATCTTAGGTAGGATCGAACTCTAACTCAAAATAATTCCAGTGGCTCGAGCTCGAGTTCGAACGAGCTCAAAAAGTTAGGCTCGAGCTCGGTTCGTTTGGCTCGAATAATGAAGCTAGTGAACTCAAGCGTGGGATCGAGCTCGAGATCTTGTAAAATCTTTGCAGTCTTTATGATGAAATACTAAATTAAATCACTCAAAGAGCAAGCATGAAGCTCCAAAAATTAAAACATACGAGTAATAACTTCTAAACTAAGTTTAGTTACCAAAAACTAATTACGGACATGAAATAATATCAATGTTCAATTAACACTCCAAAAAAGTTGTGCCAACGTTATGAATACAATCCAACACGACATGAGGTTTGACTGAAAGATTTTTTTCAGAAGAGCATTTAAGAGAACATCAACATCTACATGAAACATCAAACTAGAAAATGTCTTCAGGGGTACCAATATCATCTCTTCAACAACGAACTGTCACCTTAAGTACACCTTACAAATTACAATGCAATCTGTTTGTGAAGATAACAAATTAAAATTATTAAACCTTAAGACACTAAAGCATACAGTGCATAATCCATGGAAATCAAAGTGATGTAACAATTTTTTGCAGGAGCAAATACGAAATGTCAGTATGTCACGCACCTCTTAATTGAAAACACAAATAGCTTAGCAAAGAACTCATCATGCCTAACTTACTTTCATCATGTGGATTCTGGGAGAAATATTTTTTGGTAAGACTTTTTTCTGAAAAAATAAACAAATGTGTTAGTAAACAAATTGTCTATTAAATATTGTTCTTTAACTTTAAATTAAGAATCAATTTAACTTGCTTTCATTTTTGTTACTCCGAACAAATGCCAAAGCCAATCTCCTCCACAAAGGAGATGCCTAGATCAGGTAGATGAAAGAGTAGGTTGGGAAGACATTGACATTGGGTCTGATTTTCTTAAGGTTATTACAAGTATTCATCAAGGAGGAGAGGATTGTTCTTCATTTGGGATGTTGGTTGAAGATGTTAAATCAGTGATTTCTAGTTTTACTAATCTAATGTTTGCTCATGTTAGAAAGTCCACGAAAAACGTTGTGCGATCCGATTTGCTCATTCTATATTTGACCGTCATGTATTCTTCCCTATTTGAACAATGATTTCATGAATGCAAATTAAGGTGATC